GGATCGATGCTTATGCTGTTGATCACTGGATTGTCTGGTCCAGACTGGATTATTTACAGACCGCCGTCATATAGCTTGATTACTGCTGAGTGCGGCGTTAAACAACAACCAACCAACCAACAAACTTAACAGAAGGATGATAAAGAAACATTTTGCGAAGGATTTCAAAATTACATCAGATTCCTTATTTAGATTTGCGGTTATTCTCATAAGTGATTAAGGTTAAAAACAATGGAGACAGAATGTCGCCAGTTACAAGGAGATCAATAGTTAGATGTGTTTTGCGAGGTAAAGACAATCAATGAAAAACAGAACAGATTAAGCTTAATCCGACAAATCGACAAATCAGTTGAAAAGGGGTGAGTCACCGATCAGGGCTGCGCGGTATTTCTCCAATCACGACACAGAAGTTCAAGGTCAGATGCAGTTTTAACGAATCAAAACGATGTTTTGGAACATGTCATCACGATCAGGCCAGGTTCGAACCATTTAAAAATATGCCTTTAACAGAGAAGTGCTCGCTTTCAGTTGACTGAAGCTAATCGCTGTCACCGTTCCTCAGATTCCCACTATGGGATGAACCAACCGGTTAGAGAGATGGACTGAAGCAGAGTACGCCTATGTGAGTATAGAACCCGGTGTTGTGGTTATCTTTGAATGTATGTGTGCCAGTACATGACTGTAATATAGTTCGTCAGGAGTCATGGTCGTCTGACCACTCACTCCTTCACTTAGCATCCCTCGACGGACCAATTGAGTGTACAGCTTGAGCTTTCATCTCCCCGACAATGTGAAACGATCATCTTAGTAGGTAACTGTAGTCGGGTCTACTGACGCCCGACCGCAGTTACGACAAAGAGTTCAGCATCATCACTATAGAAGTGAACTGAATTCTGTCTTCAAAATGATTTCATATATGCTCGTTATACTGATAATCTCGGTTAATGTGTATGGCCACCATCCAGCTGGAATATTGGTGAGGCGGGCGTAAAACTAAACTCGCTCACTCACTAATATGTATTGTCTGAAATAGGAATGGAATGTTAATGCATATTCCAAGAAATAGATGTTCATGGATGATCGTTTTGTTTCGTTACTTATGGAATATTACAGATATATTCATCTCTGGATTTTAAGCCTTGGATGAGTGATAATCACACAATAACGATCGTAAAGCGGATATATTTTATTGCAGAGTACAACATGTTCATACAAGGCATCCGTGTGACTTTATATATTGTTGCTTAATATGTTTCCACTGTTGATATCTAGCATAGATATATAAGTAGTTTCATTTTATCCAGTCACTGACATCCCACCGTATAACACACTGTCGATACTGTGTTGCACGCAGTAAGAGTCCATTAAACATGGAGCAATCTATCACAATACCAAAAAACATTTCATAGTAACAATATGTTATCATTAAAAATAGAAACGGAACTTATCCAAATTTCAATTTATCTTACTATCTGGATAAAATGACCATTAAAGAATGATTGTATGGTAAAGGCAAAAAAGAGTGTGAAAGTTAAGTTTTACACCGCTTTAAAATATTCCAGCAATATCACGACGGGGCACACCAGAAATGGGCTCCACACATTGAACCCATGTGGGGGATCGAACCCGGGTCTTCGGCGTGACGAGCGAACGTTTCAACCACCAGGCTGCCCCACCGCCCCCGCAAAAAAAGAAGAAAAAGAAGAACGAAAAACTGGAGTTTATGCAAGGAAACTAACATGACAAACAAATAGCTCATTTTGTAGTAGTCATATGGTCACATGATCTTCATTTGAAATAAAGATATCATTTTCAAAATTTTGCATCCAGACCACAGAAATAACATAAGTATCAGTGAGTGAGCATAATGTCAAGATCTGGTGTAACTGCAATAACATAAGTATCAGTGAGTGAGCATAATGTCAAGATCTGGTGTAAGTGCAATAACATAAGTATCAGTGAGTGAGCATAATGCCAAGATCTGGGGTAACTGCAATAACATAAGTATCAGTGAGTGAGTGAGCATAATGTCAAGATCTGGTGTAAGTGCAATAACATAAGTATCAGTGAGTGAGCATAATGTCAAGATCTGGTGTAACTGCAATAACATAAGTATCAGTGAATGAGCATAATGTCAAGATCTGGTGTAACTGCAATAACATAAGTATCAGTGAGTGAGGATAATGTCAAGATCTGGTGTAACTGCAATAACATAAGCATCAGTGAGTGAGGATAATGTCAAGATCTGGTGTAACTGCAATAACATAAGTATCAGTGAGTGAGTGAGCATAATATCAAGATCTGGTGTAACTGCAATAACATAAGTATCAGTGAGTGAGGATAATGTCAAGATCTGGTGTAACTGCAATAACATAAGTATCAGTGAGTGAGGATAATGTCAAGATCTGGTGTAACTGCAATAACATAAGCATCAGTGAGTGAGGATAATGTCAAGATCTGGTGTAACTGCAATAACATAAGTATCAGTGAGTGAGGATAATGTCAAGATCTGGTGTGGTAACTGCAACATAAGTATCAGTGAGTGAGGATAATGTCAAGATCTGGTGTAACTGCAATAACATAAGTATCAGTGAGTGAGCATAATGTCAAGATCTGGTGTAACTGCAATAACATAAGTATCAGTGAGTGAGCATAATGTCAAGATCTGGTGTAACTGCAATATATAAGTATCAGTGAGTGAGCATAGTATCAAGATCTGGTGTAACTGCAATAACATAAGTATCAGTGAATGAGGATAATGTCAAGATCTGGTGTAACTGCAATAACATAAGTATCAGTGAGTGAGCATAATGTCAAGATCTGGTGTAACTGCAATAACATAAGTATCAGTGAATGAGCATAATGTCAAGATCTGGTGTAACTGCAATAACATAAGCATCAGTGAGTGGGGATAATGTCAAGATCTGGTGTAACTGCAATAACATAAGTATCAGTGAGTGAGGATAATGTCAAGATCTGGTGTAACTGCAATAACATAAGTATCAGTGAGTGAGCATAATGTCAAGATCTGGTGTAACTGCAATAACATAAGTATCAGTGAGTGAGCATAATGTCAAGATCTGGTGTAACTGCAATAACATAAGTATCAGTGAGTGAGCATAATGTCAAGATCTGGTGTAACTGCAATAACATAAGTATCAGTGAGTGAGCATAATGTCAAGATCTGGTGTAACTGCAATAACATAAGTATCAGTGAGTGAGCATAATATCAAGATCTGGTGTAACCTCAATAACATAAGTATCAGTGAGTGAGGATAATGTCAAGATGTGGTGTAACTGCAATAACATAAGTATCAGTTAGTGAGCATAATGTCAAGATCTGGTGTAACTGCAATAACATAAGTATCAGTGAGTGAGCATAATATCAAGATCTGGTGTAACCTCAATAACATAAGTATCAGTGAGTGAGGATAATGTCAAGATGTGGTGTAACTGCAATAACATAAGTATCAGTTAGTGAGCATAATGTCAAGATCTGGTGTAACTGCAATAACATAAGTATCAGTGAGTGAGGATAATGTCAAGATCTGGTGTAACTGCAATAACATAAGTATCAGTGAGTGAGGATAATGTCAAGATCTGGTGTAACTGCAATAACATAAGTATCAGTGAGTGAGCATAATGTCAAGATCTGGTGTAACTGCAATAACATAAGTATCAGTGAGTGAGCATAATGAGTGTAACTGCAATAACATAAGCATCAGTGAGTGAGGATAATGTCAAGATCTGGTGTAACTACAATAACATAAGCATCAGTGAGTGAGGATAATGTCAAGATCTGGTGTAACTGCAATAACATAAGCATCAGTGAGTGAGGATAATGTCAAGATCTGGTGTAACTGCAATAACATAAGTATCAGTGAGTGAGGATAATGTCAAGATCTGGTGTAACTGCAATAACATAAGTATCAGTGAGTGAGGATAATGTCAAGATCTGGTGTAACTGCAATAACATAAGTATCAGTGAGTGAGCATAATGTCAAGATCTGGTGTAACTGCAATAACATAAGTATCAGTGAGTGAGCATAATGTCAAGATCTGGTGTAACTGCAATAACATAAGTATCAGTGAAGTGAGCATAATGTCAAGATCTGGTGTAACTGCAATAACATAAGTATCAGTGAGTGAGCATAATGTCAAGATCTGGTGTAACTGCAATAACATAAGTATCAGTGAGTGAGCATAATGTCAAGATCTGGTGTAACTGCAATAACATAAGTATCAGTGAGTGAGCATAATGTCAAGATCTGGTGTAACTGCAATAACATAAGTATCAGTGAGTGAGCATAATGTCAAGATCTGGTGTAACTGCAATAACATAAGTATCAGTGAGTGAGCATAATAATGTCAAGATCTGGTGTAACTGCAATAACATAAGTATCAGTGAGTGAGCATAATGTCAAGATCTGGTGTAACTACAATAACATAAGTATCAGTGAGTGAGCATAATGTCAAGATCTGGTGTAACTGCAATAACATAAGCATCAGTGAGTGAGCATAATGCCAAGATCTGGTGTAACTGCAATAACATAATATCAAGTATCAGGTGAGCATAATGTCAAGATCTGGTGTAACTGCAATAACATAAGTATCAGTGAGTGAGCATAATGTCAAGATCTGGTGTAACTACAATAACATAAGTATCAGTGAGTGAGCATAATGTCAAGATCTGGTGTAACTACATAACATCAGTGAGTGAGCATATCAAGATCTGGTGTAACTACAATAACATAAGAGTGAGTGAGCATAATGTCAAGATCTGGTGTAACTGCAATAACATAAGTATCAGTGAGTGAGCATAATGTCAAGATCTGGTGTAACTGCAATAACATAAGCATCAGTGAGTGAGCATAATGTCAAGATCTGGTGTAACTACAATAACATAAGTATCAGTGAGTGAGCATAATGTCAAGATCTGGTGTAACTGCAATAACATAAGTATCAGTGAGTGAGCATAATGTCAAGATCTGGTGTAACTGCAATAACATAAGTATCAGTGAGTGAGCATAATGCCAAGATCTGGTGTAACTGCAAGAACATAAGCGACCCTCCTCCTCATTGACTGTATCAGATTTTGAATTTGACGTTTAAGTATTGCCTTCGGTTCAGGATATTGCGAGATTTTGTACTGGAGGATCTCTGTGGCGTAGTCTGCAACCAATAATGTGCCACACTCCTCTAACGGACTCGATACCTGCTCATTGACAGGAACATGTATTGTACCTGATGCTCGTCTTTGATGGTACCACGTACATATCTAAACTCAATATATGGTGCTCCCGAAGAGTTGAAATAATCATACCAACAAACATGATGATGATATGAAGAAATGGTTATATGGATAGAAACAGCACATAGGCTATACACATACACATGGATATTTAGAAGTAAACATAACATGAATACAAACTATGTTAGTATCGTCGGATACTTGTACAAGATCGAGTAAGTAAAGCTACAGCTATATTCAGATGGATGAGCAAAACATTGAAAGTGCGTGATAAGCAAAACAATAACACTTAGCCTATGTATATACGCATAACTAAAAGGATCCGAAAACTTGTCTATAACATTAGACAAAAAATTCCAATTGTAATTTACTGCTGATGTTAAAATTAATCGAACTATGGCCAATGTAAAAATGACACAGTCATAACATAAAACAGATATTAGCACGTGCAAGTTCGACTAGGAAATTAAGATACTGAAAATGTAACCGGGGAAAATTGTTGCACTTATTCAGTATATGTAGGCGAACATTGTATATAAATTATCTATAAACAACAAATAAAGGACACAAAACAAGGTGCATATCTTTAAGCAATTATATCTATAAATGCACAACGGGAATGGAAATAGAATTCAAGGTATTTCATTTTTTTCAAAGTGAATACAGCTGAGACAATGCAGCGTAAAGTTTGGAAAAAATATTAAAAAGGAACATGAAAATTGTAACATCGTCTTTACCACTCATTGTCATTGTAAGCTGCCAATGTGATGTTATGGAAACGCCACGTCACTCTTCTTTAGTGATGGAAACGCAATAACTAGTCAAAGGCAGACAACCAGCATTATGCCAGTGACATCTGAATGCCTTTGTCGTCATAGGCGTAACTTCAGTTTGGTGAGAGTACACATGAACTACACACTTTTGAATTCAGCTTAGGTTTAAAATGTCTAATGAACATATTTTCTTTTCGTTTTTTAAATGTTATCAATATTAGGAGATTAAAACGTGTTAGCTTGCATTTGTGCGACGTACATATTGGATTGCGATACATATATAGCATCTATTTGTGGCAGATTATGTTCTTAACGGCAATTAATTAATCTTAATTTATATTTGCAGTCTTCAAAATATATGTGTGACATTTTTCACGTTCACTGTTCACCTTTCTGGCCGTCCATAGGAACACATGCACCTTTGCTAAAGCTGGTCAACAAATGAAATGGGTTCAATTCAGGAAGATGATGATTGTTTGGAGATATTACGTGCGCTTCCAGAAGCATGCACAATTCTGAAAAATAACCACTATGGCAAAGAACATTATGGTTGTAACTGCTTTTCATCAACATATGAACGGCGGTATAATTCAGGAACCCTGAAAACATTATTGACAGCTGATAATTAGTCGGAGTCTCATTGCCAGCTCGAGATTATTAGCACTGTGAAAGGTGTGGTTTCACAAACAGTCGTACACGTGAATAGCATCGTACTAGCTTCCAACACAAAGGAAATATACAAATCTAATACACTTTCCTATTACCGAAATAATGATCAAAGGGACACAAAAGCTGGGTTTTTCATTGCAATATAAAATGTGTTAAAAACATGAATATAAAAATACATGTGGACATGCGTCTAACATATATAAAATAGGACAAACATTCTAACGACTAAATACAATTAATGTATGTTTCGTTTGCAAAATTCGAAATGCTAGATTCGAATCCCGTATTGACCCCGATGATAATCAGTTGGCACCAGTTAACAACTCCCCCGGAATTCGTTTAAGTATTAAACCTCGCATACTGGAATGAAACACTATGATAGAAGTAAAATCATGCTCAACGCAGCATTATCCTTTGCAGTAACCTAAAATGCTTATCAAAACATTCATTAGGAGGTTACTAGTCTTCTATAAGCGTGTAAACATCTGTATCGTCTATGGCGGACTTGTCGATGTCGCTCATTCGAACACTGACTGGTGTGATATATCTGTGGAACAACAATGTACGTGAAATGAACAGCCATGATAAATGATCAGTTTACAACCAAATGTACACGGTATACACTAACGTCTAAAAGAAACGATACAAAATTAAAAACATAAATATTGTGAAAAAAAATGTGTATTTTTGATTAGATATGATATGGAAACAATCGCCTCAAGTCAACAGTCAAGAATCATAAATATAGTTGTGTTCGGGCGTGAATCACGTGCATGGTATTTATATAAAATGAGTGTAGAGCTGTTCAATGACATCATCCCATCAAAAATATAATAACGACCATGCCGCGATTAACACTCGAAGAAAGAGAGAGGGCCATTGGAATGATACAAATGGGAGCCGCCTACCAGCACGTTGCTACACCCTTGGGCTGTGCTTGTATTACTATCACGAGACTCCCACAACGTACCAGGCAGACAGGTGTGACATCAGACCGGCCCAGAAGTGGGAGACCTCCCGTTACCACGCTGAATGAGGACCGGTATTTCCGAATGCTTCATCTCAGAAAACGTTTCCTGCCTGTGACGTCCTCGGCAGTAATTGGTCTTGGACATCGTGTCAGCCGACAGACAGTTGCACGACGACTCCGACGGCATGATATTCGTGCTCACAGACCCTTTCGAGGCGTAATTTTAACGCATCAGCATCGACGTCGACGTCTGCAGTGGGCACGCACCGTTCGATAATGGCAGAACAGGCAATGACAAAAGGTCATGTTTTCTGACGAGAGCAAGTTATTCATATTCCATAATAATGGCACGGCTCGAGTCGTACATCGACCAGATGCTGCGCCCAGTTGTCCTGCCTTTCTTGCAACAACACCTAAACCTCATTGTCTTTCAATAGGACAACGCCCCTCAACATACAGGTCGTGTTAGCACAGATTTCCTCCAAAGAAATAACGTCAACGTGTTGCCTTGGCCTGCTCGGTCACCTGACATGTCACCCATTGAGCATATCTAGGACCATTTGGGTCAACAAGTGCGTGCAAGACCTGTACTTCCAGGAAACAGACAGCACTTTGCTCAGGCTCTCCAGGAGGAGTGGAGGAGGATACCCGTGCATGTTATCCAGCGTTTGGTCTACTCAGTACGACGTCGAGTTGCCGCATGTATTGATGCACGAGGTGGACATACCAGATACTGATCACTCTGATAAAATTCACAGTATCATGATTGTATATACTGGACAAATGACACACTCTTGTTTCAAGACTTTTTCCAAGTTTGTTGTCATCGATAATTAGATTAATCTCTGACAATTATGCAGATTATTCATCTGTTTATCACATACAAATGTCTTTTCAAACATTCTGCGTTGTTTATTTATGTTATAGTCAAAATATTCTCTTTATCGTTTCTTTTGGACGTTAGTGTATGTCATAATTGCAATTATTACAAACTAGATGACACAGCTGGTGAGGCTTTCTGCTGCCTGTCTTAGAAACCATTGTTTATATTTTGTCTTAGACTATTATTGCGATAAATTAATTAATATGACTGAAATTAATAAATACAGGACAGAGGGTTCGAGTGATCCTGGAATAGTCACTCTGGTTAGGAACGTCATCTGCTCAGGGCCTTATCCCTCTTTACATGCAGCCCAGACAGCGAATGGGACTTCTTTCATGAAGCGCTGCCTGGTCGAATCTTTAGTCTCGACAACATTGAAGCCTTCTGCAGTTCCCGGAGCGTCAAAATGGATACGTTCCCGTCAGTAGGGCACCACGAATTATGGGGAGTCGGACAACTTGGTACTTGGGATGCAAACATGACATTTTGTAAGCGACGTTTCCCTTAAATCTTGTCAGTCACTTTTGTGTCAAGAAGGACATAAATTTCAACAATATATAATATTTCATTGGTTTTATAAAAAACACAAGGCCTGGGTTGTTGGATTTGATACGTATATGGACCTATTCCACCGACCTTTGTAACTGTCATTTTCCATGAAGCTGTCTACATATTCTGGGTCGTATCCAAGATGGACCACTACATCAAAACCACAAGCTTTGCGAAGACGGTAATAAAGGGTGCAACGCCATCATGTTGGTTATTACACTGTGTTTATGCCAAGGCTTGGCATCTATTGACAAGATGTTGGATAGTCCCAATATCTATTTTACATAATCTACAATTCATATATAAATTCTGTCGCAGAATCATACAAGGACGGTAACGTGAGGGAAAGTGACCAGTCCTGAGAAGCAAACAGAAAATCTTCCGTTTCACTTTTCAGGCCAGCGGACTCCATCCAGACAAAGGACAGTCAGAAGGATTGTTCAACAAACACACACAAACACACATAAATTTGGTGCAGTGATCATCAAGAGAGCCTTCCCTTCAAAACACCGATTTTTTGCCGATTCGATATGAGTCTTCGCTTAGCTGACACTTATTTCTGTTAAAACCATAACAAAAATCGACATTGACAGTAGGATTATGTCCAACATACTTGGCTCGTTTTAGATAACGATTGAATGTCTTGTTTCTTCATGGGTTTTGACATGCTTAACAAGAGAATCATCAGACAAATACATTGTGAGCAAAGAACACAAGAACATTTTGTCATGAGGAGCCTCCACGCTAATCAAACCAAACCCTTCGATTTAAAAAATGATAAATATACTAACCAATTGAGGGAAGAGTGATGGAGGTGGATTCTATTTCCTGACATGATTCTTCGCGTGAGGGATTCAACACTCTGAATTACTTGCTTCGTCCAATCAACAATAAAATAATATAAGAGGACGGGTACAGCGCTGACGTGTGTAGCCTAGATCTTGTTCGGCTCTTTCGTAAGACATTTGTATTCTGCCCGAGCTTGGTCCTTCATGGGGACATTCCGGAGAGTGTCTCAGAACTGAAGTACGGATAAGCCCTTCTTCGACGATTTGGTCAATAACTCGACAAGAAGATATTTTACAGTATAGAGTCTCCATTGAGAAGAAGGTCAAGGCCAACCATGTAAAAGAGGTTACTAAGAGATGTTGTCTGTCTCAGTGCTGAGGAGGTCCCGGATGATAACCTTCTTTATTGTTAAGCAGAAGGTTTAAAGGCATCCAATGCTTTTATGTTTTACAGATTGAACTAAAAAGCAACAGAGAGATCAGGTAACTTTGCCTCCTCTACACTCAGCCCAGACAGCGAATGAGATCTCTTTCATGAACCGCTACCTAGTTGGAGTTTCTTTCGAATCACATTTTGGCGATTGCGAACTGGAAGAGACTGGTCATGTGCAGCCAAAACAAAAACTCTGTTTTTCATTAAGACCACCCGACTTCATCCAGGCAAAGGATCCGGTTTGGTTGCTATTCTGTTCCACACACTGTATATGTACACGGTGCAGTGGTTTCCTAGTAGGCTGTCCCCTTCAATGACCGACTCTGGGCTAACATGGTGAATAACTTCACCTTGGTTACATCCATTGCTATAACGTGCAGCATGATTTCTTCACGAGCCATGTTTTTCCTGACCAGATGATTAAAATATGTGCAAACGTGCACAACAAGATTCTATTGTGAAGAGCCTCTCCATTAATCAAACCCCGACCTCCCGAATTAATTGGCACATATAAACGATTAAGAGAGGAGCGAGGGTGATAAGCTGTGTTATCAGACATAATCATTCTGGTCAGGCGGTCAAGACTGTTTTGCCCTTGTTTTGCCCAATCAACTACTCCAAAGGGTATCCTCCCATTACCCCTACATCCCATTACCCCTACAGCTTATAACAACAAAGTTCATGGTCCAATGCACTGCTAATCCCCTTCTTGTTACCTGTTACCTGGACAATGGACTAGCCCAAACACATGAACACAATATTTAATGTTTTAATTTATGGATTTAATTACACAAATAAATGAATATAATGCACATTTATCTTCCTGGTCGTGACATAAATATGAGCAGCAGGTCATGTTAACTTTTTAATGTTAATTTTTGTCTTTTAAACAAGTCTCTGTCCCAATTTAAGGAGATGGCCCACAGCGTCAAGGAACTGCATTGGTGTTTTCAGCCCAAGATTGAGCTGCTCCTTGAGGCGACACAAACGATGCTCCATCTCTATGTACACTCTCTTTCTGCTTCTCTGTGCTGCACCAAAGTCTATCTGGGAAATTTTCGCTCTCTCAGCGTGTTTAACTGTCCTGATCACCTCCACAAATCGGTAGATGTTGGGGTGTCGATGTGGGAGTCCCCGGTTCAGGCGGTTGTGGAATCCCTCTAGGTTGTTGTTTGTCCTTGGACCTGTTGTTCAGTTGAGTCCACCCAGGTAGTCACCATGTAATCGTTGAAGGTGGCCGCTCTTGGTACATCGGGAGCGTCGTCCATGGTGTCAACCCACGTGTCCTGGATACTGTTTTGGGGTAAAAGGGGTAGTCCAGCCGCTCTTCTTACCCATCTGGATATTTTCAGATCCTCTCTGTAAGCAACAGCAAGTCCCAGATCCTGGACCTTCCTCCAAATGGCCTGACAGTAGTGGAAGAAGCAACCCTTCACTTCAGCAGTCGGAAAACTCTCTCTCTATAGCATGAATTGCCGCCAGCTCAAAGTCTGTCTGGACACAGGATGGTGAAGATGAGGGGATAGGTTGTGGTAGGATGTACACTTGATTCCACAGACCAGTAAAGGTTCCATCCATATAGATGATTTCAGAAGACTGCAAGGCCTGAAGACTATCCATGGTGCCAAATGCCAGGATCTTATCACCATCACCATCTGAAAACAGGAGGAAGGGTCGACCATCTGCTGTCTGCGTCCTGGAATCTTGAAGGTTCACTTCCGATCTCGTCTGCGGCAAAACAGGAATTGTCTTCTATCGATGGTGGTACATGGCACTGCTCATGGTCGGGAAGGAGGGCATCAATGGTATCTTATCATCGTCCAAGTTCGTAATCTCGTTGTTGTAGAGGGTGTGCATCAATGTTGACTCTTCCCTCTCTCTCTTCCTAAGGTTGCTGACAAACCGGACCTTCTGGCTATCCTCTGGCGGATGATTATGCTCCGTCGCATTCCTCAAAACATTTCCGACTGTTGTGACTCTGCCTCTGCAAGTTGGCTGGACACACTTCCAGTGTACAAAAGACTGTCTCTCGACATTCTTAGTGTGTAGATAACCCTCAAATAGGACTTGGGTGCTACCTCTCCGTGACATAACAAACTCAACATTGCGAAGACCAGCCATGTCGATGTCATGTTAGTTTGTTTCCAACATTTATATAATATGCTACGTCATCTCAAATTAATTGTCAATTTCAACATTTACTTCATTTCATCTTAACAACTTTTCTCTAACCAAGAACAGCTTAATCCTTTCTAATTTGTATATACGACACTTTACTATACTAAGTCTTCTCAAATTACTTGTCTCATCTCAGTGTCAATTTCAACATTTACTTCATTTCATCTTAACAAACTTTCTCTAACCAAGAACACCGTAATCCTTTCTAAGTTGTATACACAATACTTTAATCGCTCCCATGGGTAAGTTCATTCTGCCAGACAGGTAAATGCCGTGTGTTGTTTTAACTAATTGTAGGGGTACTGGGATGTAGGGGTAATGGGATACAACCCAACCCTCCAAAGGATTAGGAAAGGACAGACACAAAACTTATGGGTGGCTTTGACCTTGTTTACAGCACTCGGCTCACTCACTCCAGATTTACTTTAAGTGAGATTTTATTGACCCGGAGTCTTGAATTTTGGATTTTCGTGTATTACAAGATATACTAGTATACATGTAGGTCTGATCGTGTTTCTCAATATCTCTCCCCTCTACCCCCACCCCCTTGTAACTTGACACTTTCGTCATTACTACAAATATTCTTATTAGTATGAAATAGAGGATTCGCAAAATTAATACTGCACCTTGCTTCCAATGAACCTGTGGACAAAGAGTAAAGAATATGTGAACTATTATTCAATATATGTAGACGCAAACTGAATTTGAATTGTGTTTCCAATACTCGTAAGAATAGCATGTGATCATACTATTACTAGTCAACAAAATACCATTCAGCTATGATGATACGACAAACATTGCACGTCAGCAGTATGGTAACAAATTCACAGAATTATTCTCAAATGGTAACGATATTGATACAAATCTTCAGGGTCATACTGACAACACTCTTTCCCTGTGCACTTAAGACAACACGAATCCGTTGGTAAATGACCAGATGGTGGCAACATGAATACGTGAAAACACCTTGTTGCAGGTACAGAAACGTGCAGTAAACTCGGACAAAGTACTGTGACTATGTGTCCCAGTTCACCCATCTGTGAATGGGTACCTCGTAAGCACGATACGTGTCGCTTTCACGAAGGTGGTAAACGTGTGACCTACACCATTTCACGCTTTTCTCACACATCAAGCTGACATCAGCCATAGAACTGCCTATATTACTGCAGCGTAAAATCGATCATTCAGCTTTTCCATCTACATTGACATAAATTCAACCTGGAACTATACTGGAATTGAGAAAAACGTATTTATACTTACGTTTTGTTCTTTTGTATAGAAAGAGAAATACGACGAATATGACTGCAACCACTGCAATGACTGCTGCAGCTGCACCAGCAACAACGGCTGTTGTAAGTGATGGATCAGCTGCAAATTAAGCATGGTATGTCAAAGAACATGTCCCAAGACATATTGTTGTTAACTGGCACAGATATTAAAGTTCATAAAAGTATTTGTGAATAAGTCCTAACACATTGATGTTCACCTATATGCATGCATTTTCCACGCTGTGAAACCTTGTACATTACTCATTCGTTTCGGACAAGGTGGATGATTTGTAAAGATGGATATATTATGTCTCATAAAAAGACGATCAACACTAACCCAACACCATGACTTGAATAGTCTCGCTCCATTCAGAGGACGAGTTTTGCTTCTCAGTCCGACAGGAATATCCACCCTGGTCATTCTCCCTTACATCTGTAATAGTGAGAGAACCATCCCTCATCTGATACCTTTGGCCACCCTCTATCGGGATGTTGTTCCTTGTCCAGCTGTAGGCCACTTGTGTAGTCCAAGACAGATTTCGGGCAGCGAAGGAGCATGTCAATGTCACAGTCTTACCTGGTGTGGCTTGAACAGGTGCGCTGACATAGGGAGCAGGATCTGCTGTAACCATGACGAATGCAGTTGTATATAACACTTTCACAACATATCTTATGATACTAAAACTTCATCGTATTGTATTGGAGAAACGCGAGAGAGACAGATGTAAGCACTTAGTCTGACTGACTGACTGAGTTTGGTTTTACGTCGCTTTTAGCAACATCACGCCGGGGGACACCAGAAATGGGCTTCACACATTTTACCCATGTGGGGATTCGAACCCGGGTCTTGGGCGTGACGAGTAGGGCTTCAACGAGTCCATTTTCTTGGACTGGAGTACTCGAGGGGTGAGACTCCACTCGGACCCGAGTACTCGAAATTCATACCTTTCAAACAAACGATAGCGTAACCGGCATGACATGTGTTCCGATCACACAAGGGAACACTTACTTCATTCCGACTTCACATTGTCGTGTGACTAACATTTCCTATTGGTCAGTATCCGCATTTGGATGTTTACTTGCCAAATGTTGTTTTTTTTCCATCGTACTGGTTGTACTGCCTGCATAACGCAGTGATATACCGCATAGGCGGCATTTGGTTATTTTTCTCTTTTCACTATCCGGATCAAGACACGCCCATACATTTGATTTTTTATCGTTCTCCATGTCTGTTAAGATAGTTACCTAATCATTTTAAGAAGTGAAATCATTTTAAGAAGTGTATAATAATTACTCTCACCTGCAGACTTGTAACAACTAATACCATACAGCCACACCGTGTGAGGAGTAAATTACTTAAACTAGTCCTTAATAAAAAACATTATGAGATGGGTCAAAGAATTCAGGGTACATAGAACTCAGTATGTCAGTGTCAATGGCCATCAATCTTCTTTAATCTCAACCTCTACTGGAGATCCACAGGACTGTGTTCTTTCATCCGTACTCTTCGTTTTGTATACCAATGAGTGTTACTTGTCATTAAATGACTTGATTACTGTGAAATTCGCAGATGACGCCACTGTTACTGGCCTAATTTCTGATTCTGAACTTTATTATCGTCAAGTCATTGACAAAACCGTAATGACAGTTTTTATCAAACCTTTATTCAAAGTGTGTTGACCTACAATTTTCTGTGTTGGTATGGGGCCCGTCTGATCGCAACAAAAACAAACTTTTCAAAATTGTTAATACTGCCGACAAAATTTCGAGTATATTCCCTTTTTCTATGAGCGCCAGATTGTCAAAAAGGCAACTAAAATTAGATTTGATAGTTAACATATTTTATCTAACGATTTTGAAGTACTTCTTTCTGGACGCTGCTGTTGATTACCTTCCCTCAAAACAAACAGAGCTTGACAGTCTTTCATACCATCAAGTATTCGTGAATGCAACAAATATTTTGAATTATCAGCATGTGATAACAACTAGAATTATTCAGCCTTTTTACCTATACCTATCATGTCCGTTTTATTGTGTAAATAGCTTTCGTTTTGTGCATGTAATTATTGTGTATATTTTTGTTAATTGTGTACATATTCATTTTGAGACAGTTTGGATGTATAAGAATTTCCTCCGGGGTAATAAAGTTATATCTTATCTTAATATTAGACGTTAACGGCCGCTCATGCTCATCACATGGCTGACGGACAGTCTGTCATTGTAATCCAATAATTCGAGTTATCTCCCCTTTTCGAGTCCTCGAGTCCTACAAAATGGACTCGAGTCCAGCTCAACCCGACTCGTCCTCGAGTACTCGAGTACCCGTGGAAGCCCTAGTGACGAGCGAACGCTTTAACCACTAGGCTACCCCACCGCCCCGTAAGCACTTAGTACTAATCTTGCAATGACTATCATACATGCGCCAGCAACAACACTTGTCTTTGAATGTGATACGTCAGCTATAAAATGTTGATAAAAATGTTCAGATTTTTGTTTGGTAACTGTCACAGAAAACAACAAACGTATATCATAACTTTTCTCTAATTTAGAATAAGCATAGGCATTGATTTTCATGATTCGACAATGACAATGAAGAATGCCCTATGTCAGATTAGAATGAGGTATCAAATATTCCATATGATTCTTCGAAAAAGAGCCTCTTCGGACAACATAAACTCAGGGGCAAAAGAAACGCTGGTTTTATAAACGTTGACACAATTTTAATCCACACCTAAAACCATGGTAAGATACACTGTTAAAGCATTCTCCCAAACGTAACAGTCATTTCTTTGGCCTCGTGGTGAATCGGCATCACGATGTTTCTGTGAAATATGGGTTTTTCGTTTTTATTTCGAGAAGATGCATAAGGACAATTCTGTGCAAGGATCGGGTATAAATCATGCCCAGAATCCTTCCTTAGCATTGAATGGTTTGGATTTCACCAACAAGAATGTCACGTTTGACGCCTGAGCAGCGAGAGAGAGCGATAGGGATTGTAGCGACCACAATTGAGATAATGGTGAAACGTCTCAGAGATACTGGTCGGACATCAGACAGCCCACGGGTAACCATGGCCAACGAAGACCGCCATCTTCGTCTGCTGCACCTCCGTGACAGGTTCCTCACTGTGATGTCATCAGCACGAGATGCTATACAACACCCCATCAGCAGGAGGACTGTAGCCCGACGTCTCCGCCATTTTGGTTTGAGAGCTTACCAGCCCTTTAGGGGAATGACCTTGACCCGGCAACATCGACTCAACATCGATTGAGGTGGGCTCGCATTGTGCAACGCTGGCAAAGACGACATTGGGACAGAGTGCTGTTTTCAGATGAAAGCAGGTTCCAGCTTTACAGTGCTGACGGCCGAGTGCGAGTTTACCGGCGCAGAGGCGAACGAACGTCACGTTGCTGCGTCCAAGAAGTGCATCCTCGTGGCGGCGGAAGTGTGTTGATTTGGGGCAGTATTTGTGGAGGCACTAAGACCGACCTGGTGGTTACAAATGGTACCCTCAACGCTGACCGCTACATTAACCAGATCTTGACACCACTCGTGTTTCCATTCCCGCAGAATAACCCAAGAACGCTGTTCCAACAGGATAACGCCACTCCACACACTGCACGTGTTACCAGAGAGTATTTCAATGTCAACAACTTACAAGTTCTTCCGTGTCCAGCCAGATCCCCTGACATGAATCCCATAGAACACCTCTGAGACCATCTTTGGAGGCGGATTCGGCAACGTCAACAACGTCCACATTACAGACAGACGTTGACGCAGGCACCGCAAGAACAGTGGCGTCACATCACTCCAGTCATTGTGAGGGGACTGGTAACGCCTGTACGACATCGTGTCAGGGACTGCATACTTGCTATAGGTAGACACACTCGCTATTGATGATGGAATTACACTTTTAACTGATTTGTGTAATGATAACATGAAATGGAATGTGATCGAATTATGGACAATCCAACACATGTGACACGAATGCTCACTATTCCTTACAATATCATCATGTGGTCAACCTGGTGTTAATTGTTGTGTCTGTGAAATACAATGATATCTGTTGACATACCTTGTCATATGTTTTTATTAGATGAGAAAATTAGAAGCCAGCGTTTCTTTTGCGCCTCGGTGTACCTGTGTAAATAGTAGACAGGCTGCATATGTATTCATAATATACATAGCTGCCTATAACCAATCTGTATGGTTCGATATTGAAAATATCATCGGATGTTTTAGGCAACGAAATGAATTTCCTGGGCCTTCTACCTGATCGCTTGAGTGCTGAGATCTAAGGCGTAAGAAATCATCGAAAAATGTACTGATATAGAACATTTACAGTTCTGATTGGTTGTCGGCAGCCTTTTCTTTATGCGTTAATATGGGGCTATACATGTATCCATATGAATAGAATAAAATTTGACTATAGCGTTAATCCCGTTTTGACCCATCAGAGGCATGCAATCTACAATTCCATCAGTATCATGCAGCAGAATGTAAAAAACATGAATGCCCATGTGACAGAAAAGGTGAAATTACTGTTTCCAAGAAGGACGATCAACACTAACCCAACACCATGACTTGAATAGTCTCGCTCCATTCAGAGGCCGAGTTTTGCTTCTCAATCCGACAGGAATATCCACCCTGGTCATCCCCCCTGACATCTGTAATAGTGAGAGAACCATCCCTCATCTGATACCTTTGGCCACCCTCTATCGGGATGTTGTTCTTTGTCCAGCTGTAGGCCACTTGTGTAGTCCGAGACAGATTTCGGGCAGGGAAGGAGCATGTTAATGTCACAGTCTGACCTGGTGTAGCTTGAACAGGGGCGCTGACATAAGGAGCAGGATCTGTTATAACTATAAATAATAATCTAAATTTATTTCAGTAAGGATACACATTTATAGTGTCTATATGTTTGGATTAATCATATTTATGTACATCTTAGCAAGAATTTGTAAAAATCGTATTAGTAAAGGCCTGTATCACAAGACATGGGCACATAGAAGTCTGGTTGAGACGGAATTCACTGCAGTGCGCATCTCTTATCTACAAATCTGCAAATCACACATACACACCTGTAAGACTTCGTGTCTGAATGCGATGCAAACAGATAATAACACTGTGACAGAAGTCTTCAAAGTAACGTTAAGCCTATATACTAACTCATTTGGTCATTGGCTCTTTGGTGCAACAAACACTTTCTTTTACAACCGTGAACACAATGTTCTAAGGAAACTCATCAACATATGTGTGCAGCAAGGCAGTACTAACGCATTTATACTCCAACTAAGCAGGGACGGTGAGGTAGCCTAGTTGTTAAAGCGTCCGCTCGTCACGCCGAAGACCCGGGTTCGATTCCCCGCATGGGCACAATGTGTTAATCCCAGTTCTCGTATCCCCCCGCCGTGATATTGCTGGAATATTGCTAAAAGCGGCGTAAAACTAAACTCAGTCAGTCAGTCAGTCCAAATAAGCATTCTAACCTCTGACGTCAAGACTCCATTCAGAGGTCAGGCTTTCCTCTTTTGCCTGACATGAATATCTGTCTCCGTGATATATGTTGTCAGGCAGAATGAGATGCGGTCCATCCATCCGATATTCTCCTCCATGTTGCATCTGTTGGCCGTTTCTAGTCCAGATGTAAGACAATGGTGGGCGATATTCCTTCGGCAGAGTCATTGCCGTTGAGGAGCAAGTGAATGTCATATTCCCTCGCACAACAGTTGGCTTGCTTGGTCGTTCTGTGCAATAGAGAAATAGAGATGGCTTGTCTATTTAATACTCACAGTGGCACACATGGCTATTACAGGTGTATGCCGACGGCTTTAAACACTAAGTCTTAACCAGACAAAGATTGACATCAAGAGCACCTATGTATCCATTGGAGTTACGATAAAATAAATCGTAAGTTCTAACCCGGGCCTTTCGGGGGAAACAGACATAAGATTGAGGTTGGTGCTAACTGAACATATGGCGCAACGTATATGTACGTACATCCTTAGGGCGAACTGCAATCTTTTCGTATTATCTCAATACTTACTGTTACGCTTTTGCGACCTACGAAAGCCTAATGCGAGAAAATACTCGAAGCAACAAAAAAATGGTTGAAGCAACGAGAAAATGTTCGAAGCGACGAGAAATATTCGAGGCAACGAGAACTTTCGCAGAAAAATATTTTATGCTACAAAAGTGGCAGCATTAGGCTTCCGTAGACACCAGCTTGCTACGTGCTGATGGTTGTTATCAGTCATTGTACAATCTTATAATACTGAGTACTGGAAGTGTACTTACTTTGTACAACCAGAACATCATCACACATGGATGGGATACAGCGGTAGTGTCCAGCATCTCTTAAGCTCACATGGTACATGGTCAGCAGCAAAGCGCGAGAGTCGGGGAATACAATAAGCCCAGTTATCCTTATCTTTGACCAGGCTCCCTGCCAGACGTGTGTAGTATCGTTTAACGTTGATATCAATGTGGATGATCTCGGGTTCTGTATGCGGTACCATAGTCCGGACCGGGGTAGCTTCCATACCATGGAGGCGGTCTCTCCCTCGCGTGCAAGTGTATAATTTGTGTACAGATCTGTTGACACTAGAACGGAATCGATGTGGTTAATGTTTGTTTTCAAATGTGATGATTTAGACATGATTATACCGTTGGTCAGGTGATTCAAACAATTAAATCTCAGGAAAATTACAAGTATGATAATTTGAACCCCGTGAATTAATTCTAAAATTGTCCTACGTGTAGCTCAGAATATATTTCAATCAGGATTCATAATATTGATGAAAGTCCCCATGGTCCCTAGTATGGTGATCTACCTTCAGTTGTTGGCGATCTATAGCCCGTGTTTTATATTATATTGTGTTCTTTAAATACAAAGTTTCAGGTTTACATGCTACTTCTATATTCATGTCTGTGATACCCTAGTGTTTTTACTGTCCATCGACGACAGGTTTTACTCTTCAAAATGGTTTCATCTTTTATTGTATAAATTTGTTTCGTCACGACAGGACTGAGCTATTGCCGATGTGACGTTAATATTAACTCACTCACTCACTCATAATAATGATGTTAATGCTTCATGTATTGTATTTAGAATAGTTCTAACATCAGATGTGTATTATTCACGACAGCTAAAAGGTGTGTCCTGGTGCGACATGGTCAAATACCATTTACCATACTCCTAATACCATTCCTTCTATTGTTTTAAGGGGCGGTGGGGTAGCCTAATGGTTAAAGCGTTGGCTCGTCACGCCGAAGACCCGGGTTCGAATCCCCACATGGGTACAATTTGTGAAGCCCATTTCTGGTGTCCCCCGTCGTGATGTTGCTGGAATATTGCTATAAGCGGCGTAAAACCAAACTCAGTCAGTCAGTCTATTGTTTTAGGAAGTGTCATTGACATTTTGTTGTCTCAACAACTGCATAATTGAAGTAGATGATAAACATCAGCTTACATTCCTTCCCGATGATGAACGCATCGCTCTGCTCCGTGTGGAGGCTGTGATCCAGCTCGGCTTCACAAGTGTAACTGTCTGTGTCAGTCTCCCTCCCGACATCGGTGATGGTCAGATAGCCAATGTAATATCGAACTCTGGGTTCCCACTGAGCGTTGCGTGATGTCAAGTTATATCTTTGTCCCGTCTCCAGGACAACGTCATTCCTTCTCCATGTGAAGGATGCAACGATATGATGGTATCTGCTCCGTTTAACAGCAGTATTGAAGTGGCAGGCAAGTGTTAACGGTCCTCTAGGGGGTATGGTGTCGGGGCGGACGATGTATGGATGCTGTAGATCATCTGAGGAACATAACATAATGGTTAGTTTGCAGTGATATATTTCCCTAATGCTCGTCAACTAATTTGATATTATCCTATCTGTTAGTACAATGATGAGTTCGTGATATGATATGAAATGATATTTTCAATGTATTTTTCTGAGGAAGAATCGTAGAATATTCTAGATGTGTTACTGAGAGTTATGGATTTATGATTACTCATGATCTGTCCTTATCATAAGAGCAATAACGTTGTCCTGCGAGGACTTTATCAGCAAACAATAACACCGAAAGTAGGTGTATCATCCATGGGCAATCAAACTGTGCTCAGCCTGGTTGTAAAATGCAGGTTGAAGTGATATTCATGACTGCTAAGCATATGCTTTTAAGAATGGAGTTGGAAATCCTGAGCGCTGCCAGTATAGATCAACTATCACTATGGTGGTACAGTGATGTGTGAGCTGACTGACCTTATCCTGGTAATAGAGTTTTGTGGCTAGTTGGTATATCCAGAGACCATATAATGGACTATGATATGGTCTCTGGTATATCTGCTTCTCATTGGATTGGTCGTTAGTTTCAACGGGGTACTGCAATTCTATTGGAGATCTTTGGGTCTAACCTGCATGACATGTGTGGCAACGACAGGAAACATATCACAGCCAAGACCATTTCCTTATAACGTTCTGCAAATGCCAAGGGCTGTCCTCGGGAACAACCCCCCGGGGTAGAGCTTAGTTATCTCTGACAGTTGGGGGGTGCATCTTATATGTTATATAGCTTACGTCTTCGGCTTACAACCCTGGCACTATATATACTCTTCAAAGTAGGGGGACTTCATTTTTAATTTACGATTGCCACTTGCACTTTCTTATGACCATGGTTGTTTGTACAGTAATCGCTCTTGTAAGATGATCGTCACGATATGGCTGCGATATTGCCGATGTGACGTTCAATTATTAACTCACTCACTCTTGTAAGATGATCGGTATATGACGTGAAATTTGCATTTTCAAACAAAACAATCCGGCTAGAAACAAACACTTACAGCTTTGTGACACCAGATGATTGTCAAAATTAATCGTTTACAGTGATTTATCGACTTTCTTGAAAACCGTCAGAAACAAGCATGACACCACATGCACGTGTATGGGGCTAATGCGTTGTGCACATGCTTCACATGCGTTAAGGGGTGGTGATGTCTCTCTTTTAAAAGTTTGATAACGCTTATACTTCCTACCAAATTAAAAGTTCAGGTTCCCTACTTATATAAAGAGTCAACTATAATATGTAACAAACCCCCACAATACCTTTATTTCACAAAATGAACCCAAAGAACCACAATTAGTTTAAAGATGACAATTTAACAATGAGTCACTGTTCATATCAAGGTATACCCGTTCGCGAGTACACTTATATCACTGGACAGCCCCGTAACACTAGGAAGTCATACACTGCACAGTGTCCTGAACTCATTGCTGTCATGGCTGCTGCAGAGGAAATTCAACAACCTTTACTCACAAGAAGAATATATTACAGTGATGGTGTATCTACATGTGTGTACCAATATGAAGCAGTACTTACCAATTACTGACACCTCTTGTCCGCATGCAGGTATTCTTGACTCTCTTGAATTTGGTGGGCCGACATAGCATCTGAAGTATCCGTCATCAGAGGATGTCAGAGAGGGCAGATGAAAGCTGAATACACCATTTCCGGATTGTGTGATATTACCGGTGAAATGTCCGATTGAGTTGTCACACTTTGTGACTTGATTATAGTTGGCTATGTGGAAGAAGCAGTCACCTGACTTCACCACCGTGAACTCCTTGACACCAGGGTTTGGAAGCTTCCACGAAACAGATAGAGGTTCTCCATAGAGACCACACGTGGCAGGGACATCTACAAATAACGAACGGGACATTGGTGGTCATTGACACTAAATTACACCACCAACATTAAATACAGTGAGGGATTAAATATATAACAATGTATGTACATACACTGAAGAGCGATTCCGTGATGTATTGGATAAAGGATTGGCCTTGCATGCTCCACAACAGTGCATAAACACGCCATGTAATATCACATCTGGTAATTAATTGATAGCATATTTATATTATCAATAGCCCATATCGATACAATATTAGAATTGATAGTTGACACCACATACTTTTTACCAATATCAAATCGTTTTCGGCGAAATGTTAATTGCGGACCCGGAGATGCCATAATTAGAAAAGAAATATTAAATATGAACTGAGTAGTAAATATGAACTGGGGTAAATGGCATATGGAATGATGGACGATCTTACAGTTGAGCCAGTCATATCTTTAAATATACCTGCCCGTGAAACTACAATTATAAAGTTTTATTAGGGTAGCATAACAATGCCATGCATGCAACACGTACCCAGTACGTGCAGTTCTTCTCCACAATTAGATATGCTTGATCCCCTGTGATAACATGTGTACGTGCCGCCATCCTCCAGGGTGACATTCACCAGTACAAAACTAAATACTCCATGTCCCTCGGAGGTCACGTGTCCGGTAAACTTGACCCCCGACGTGCAGGGGGTGATGTTGTCATAGTTACTGACGTTGAAGATGCAGATGTCTGATTTTAGAATCGAAAACTCCCTGACAGGAGGATCCGGCTGCTTCCATGAAAAAAACGCATTTTCTCCTTCGTCAACCACGAGTCCTAGAAACACACACACACACACATATATATATAGAGTTTTGTTTGTTGTATATTCCAGCTATATGGCGACAGTATGTAAATAATTGAGCCTGGACCAGACAATCCCGTGATCAACAGCATCGATGGTTACAGAAGCATGGGTTACAGAAGACCAATTCTAACCCGGATCTTCACGCAGTTTATGTTTGTAGGGAAAGTCATGGCAGACAAGATTTAGTAAAAACATCCTAATTCGTCATGATATCCTTTACTCCGCTTGAAGTTCTTTGATAAGGTCACCATGTCTTACTTGAGAGATAATTCGGAATACATTCTCCATGACACAAGGGCAAGACAAACGGGAGTTCTTTGGTTATGAGGAAGTGCTGATCGGCGAGGCATCGTTCCAGCCTACTATTGTCAGAATGCTAAAGGGCAATTTCAGGGTTGAGTGAAAATCTGAAAACTAAACACAACAAGCAGACTGTGTGGTATGACGACAGCGGATTTCCGAGCTGAGCTGGTGGCCTGATATCAGATCATGTCGGAAATGTGCTGCCTAGGCTCTGGCCCTAGTGTCACCCTCTCTGTGATATCCTGTGTCATCCTCTGAGTCACCCCCTGTGTCATATCTTAAGTCATCCTCTGTATCATCCCTAGTTTCATCCATTGAGTCATCCCCCTGTGTCATCCCCTATGTCCTCCAATGGGTCATCTCGTAAGTCATCACATGTGCGATCCCTAGAGTCATACATTGAGTCATCCCCTGTGTCATCCCCTGTGTCATCCCCTGTGTCATCCCCTGAGTAATTCCCTGTGTCATCACCAGTGTCATCCCCTGTGTCATCCCCAGAATCATCCAATGAGTCATCCCTTGTGTCATCCCCTGAGTCATCCCCAGTGTCATCCCCTGTGTCATTCCCTGTGTCATCCCCTGAGTCATCTCCACTGTCATCCCCAGAATCATCCATTGAGTCATCCCCTCTGTGATCCCTTGTGTCATCCCTTGTGTCATCCTCTGTGTCATCCTCTGTGTCATCCCCCTCTGTCATCCCTTGTGTCATCACATGCCAGATCGACAAGCAGTAATACATTATCAAATTGTAGGATATTGTGTGATATTTAGGTAGACATAACTCTATTCTATGGTTTGCGAACACGGGCTTATGGCGACTGATTAAGACAATGTCTTCCTACAACAACGACAAGGGTTCTGCAACCTCCGCCGCGAAGTTCCGAAAATGCCCCAAACCCTGTTTTGTTGGAAATGTCCGGGAGCCGCCGACCACGTCTTCGACCGCTGTCCAATGGCGGTACGCGGAAATAGGTGTGGGAACTGTGGACATCAGAGAGTAGTGCCCCCTGCTCTGTACCCACTGCAATAGACAGGGCACTATCTGAGGACCTATCCGGCACTACACGTGGGCCGCAACACCAGCGTCCCTGTTATCACCGCCCCAGTCGCTGTCCGTCATGTTGCCGACGCTGGTGTGGATATTCCTGATTTCAACTGTTCCTGACGCTAATCATACCGTCACGACTCCTAGTATTGTTTGGAGTCCCAATACTACACACCCTGAGAGGTCCTCCTCCATTCAGTCGTTGCTAGAGGTGTGAGGGTTCGGACCACTGGGTCCTCAACTGTCCTGGAGCCGAGTGTTTAAGTGCAGTATGTCCGGAAACTACTCGAGTAGATCACCATACTAGGGACCATGTGGACTTACAGTACTTTTGCTACCTGCATTACACCATTTCCTTCAGCCGCTGGCGATTGTGGGAACATTTAGCCATATTGTGAAATAACAAAACTTCTACGTTTAAAAATTGGTAAGTTTATATTTACTTTGAAAGTTTTGGGACTTACGTACCCCCTCAGGAGGACAATATTTTTTCGATACTTTAACCCCATTTGAGGATACAGCCGCTAACAATCTCAGTTGTTAATTTATACTACCATTTATAAAATATCATTTATCTATTTACAAAACATATAGTTCAAATTTATCTAGTAATTCTATTGCCTTTAAACAATGTATTAAATGATAATTAACATTATAAAGAATCCTTAATTGTTTTGACATTGAAATATTTATCCCTTGTCATGGAAATCAATACGTCAATTTATTGATACCTACTTGGGCGTCGCACTTCTTTTGCATTAGATCACGGATATATGATCTGATTACAGCTGTTATCAGAGTATGAGATGAGAAGTGGTGTCATAGATTTGTTGAGTGCTGCTTTAGCAGCAAAGTCGGCCATTGTGTTGCCAGATATTCCAACATGGCTTGGTAACCAACAGAGGACGATGTCGTACTGGCCAGTAGCAAGATCATTATATAATTCAATTATTTCGATGGATGGATGTTTTAAAGATGTTTAAAGAAAGATTTTTTTATAGCCCGAAGGCAAGAAGAGTATAAAAATATGATATATTGTTTATATTTAGGTTGTCTATCAACATATTTAAGAGCTGTTAGTATGGCGTTTGCTTCTGCTGTGAAGCTGTCCTGTGACAATCTAGAGGATATTGTTCTGGGTCCAATGACAGTGGCACAAGCAACTGCACCACCATCCCTGGATCCTTCTGTAAATACGGATTTGTATGTATTATATTTACTTTTTAATTGATTATATTCTTCTTTATATTGCAATTCATTAGTTTCTGATTTTTGAAATGTTGTCAGTGTTAGGTCAGCTTGTGGCCTCACTATTTGCCAAGGAGGGGAAGAAAGAAGCATTTAAATTGAAAAGGAGCCAAAGGAGCTCGGGGATTCAGAACCTGATTCTGAGGAAAATCTACCATTGCTTCATTTTGGGTGAGACAGTTCGTCTGAGTTAGCATAAGGCGCACAAAGCTGTAAATAAGTCGGCTGTAAATAAGTGGCAACGGGTTTGGTATCAACAGCTGGTAATAAAACACATATACTCATTTGTCTTGATTGTAAAGCAGTCCGGGTTCGACTTTTGTCCGTTCCCTCCCTTTGTTAAGGGCAACCAACTACCTGAATCGTTCTTTTTTGTTTTTTATGTATAATATATTATCTATACTTTCACTGGGAAAAGTCTGTTAACATGAATTGCTTCTGCCTCTGTTATGTTCGTCAGCTACGTCCGGATCACAAAGCATTGTTCTCATAGCAAGTTGATTGTCGGGACTGTTATTTTAGTCAGCTACGTCCGGATCACAAAGCATTGTTCTCATAGCAAGTTGATTGTCGGGACTTATTTTACTCGGTAACCAGTGAGTGTCCGGATTATAAAGCACGCTTGAATGATAAATTAAGAACAATTTTGCCGGGACTCAAAGAGTAGTCCGGATTATGGAGAAAATCGGATTACACAGAGTCCGGATTTCAAAGATTCCACTGTACATATACAAAACTTGACACTTGTTAAATTGAAGCCTGCATTGTATTACTGTGTGCGATATTAGGAAACTAGATGCGTACCATCCATGTAACAATGCATACAAAGTACAGTGGATAGCGGCATGATTCTGTTGGAACGATAACGTACGACGTTCCATGACTTCACTATAAAACTTTTGGAACAGAAGGAGTGGTGACGGCAACATAACATCTCATGCACAGTAGGGCTCGAAACACTTTAACCGGAAGTCGTCGTCATTTGTCAACGAGTGCTTGCCTAAATGCTTGTATGGTCTAAGGCTGATTCATCTGCTGTAGCACTCGTCTTCCTAGCTAATTGGGCGCTAGGGCTGTCTGCGGTTAAAGCTTCCGCTCGTCACACTGAAGGCCCGAGTTCGATTCCACACACGGGTACAATGTGTGAAACCCATTTGGTGTCCCCACCATGATATTGCTGGAATATTGCTAAAAGCGGCGTAAAACTAATCTCACTCACTCCTTCACTCTGACTTCAAGACCACCTTTCATTAAGAAATAGGGAAGGTCACGTCGTATTTAGAGGCACTTGGCCTAATTTCCGGGCGGTCCACTGAGCGGGTAAATGTGTCAGAAACATGACAGCAAAAACTGTATTTCATAAGGTCACGTGCATTTATGAATACACAATGCCATTTATACTGAGACACTGAGCCGAGGTTGATATGCGAAAAAATTAAACTAGATATGCGAGTTTGATATAAGAAAAAATTAAACTAGATATCGGATGAAATCAATTAGGAAATAAACGTAATGTGTTTGGAAATTAGATGAATGTTAGACCGGATTGATAGTCTCTAAATTTCATTTGAAGCGTAGCGTTCGGCTTCAAATGATTAATTTAGAGACTATCAATTCGGTCTAACATTCGTCTAATTTCCAAAGACAGTATGTTTATCTGCATTCTACCATAACCGATTTAAAATCGAATTTCTTCGTTCCGCGGAAGACACTGCGTAATCCAGCATGGGACTCGTCTGTGAATGGAGTAAACACTGCAACATAAAATACATTCTGTCCAAAGAAAACAAACTACCGTTTATTCAATGCAATTATGTAATACCTAAGAGCTTGGTATTTATAAGACTACCTTCACACGACCGAAACCAGCCTATTGTTTTGTGTGCAGTGTTACTGTACCCCCCTGGCCACACTATAATGGAATCGTCCGACCTTCTTATTTTCTTGGAAGTAATTATTACGCAACAGTTTGAAATGGCGGATGAGCCAGAGTTTACATTTTGCGAAAGGTTGAAATTTGAAGTGACAGTGGAGAAAATACTTGACTGACTGTCGAATCTGAATCCTGCAGAATCGAAGAATAGATCCTTTTTTGATCGAATCAGTGCTGTAACTCATCAAAGACTGTTGATTTTTATGACCGGCGAGTTTCGACCATGATTTCACGAACGTGCCTCCGGTATGCGACGAAAGAGTGACAGTGCTGGCCTAACGCAATGATTTTTGTACATGCAACTAACGTTTCCTTGGATTCTTTGGAAATTGTATTTTGTATTCATCACTTGGGAATGGATTATGGCCAAGCTTTTTTCTCCAGCAGTGACAGGACTGCGGGGAAGCTAGCAGAGAGCAGATTTCTGGTGGTTCAAGTTTTGACATCTATCTTTTGAACGATGCAACAGGACATGATGGAGTATGAGTGGCATAAATTTGGTGTTTCGCCCGGCCGTTATGTTGTGAACTTCCCTTTATAAACGGCAACAAATACACCATTTACCAGGTAGGCAAATGTTTACTAACGTTTTGCTGCAAAGTTTGTATAGATAGGGATTTATTTTTACAAGTCTTTCTGATTTATAAGTTAGATATTGTTTGTTTATGTTTCGGGCTGTGTATTGTAATTGAGTTTGAATATTTTTATAATAGAAGGTAATATGTTAGTGAGTTTCCCTAATAATTGTGGAGGAAAAATCATATAATTGTATTTTTCGAGTTTTATTAAATGTTTTGTAAGCATTTACATCACGTCTATTGTGTTGATATTAGCAATGCTGGTGGTCAAGCTGAAGTAGTGTGGCAGTTGTATATACGTGCGCAGTGAAGCGCTGTGAAATCAGACGCATGATTCCAGTTTGCTGAAGGAAGGCTTGTCTCACTCAAGCGGGCATGGGGTATGCGTTGTCATGCTGGAATATCAACTGACGTTGACGTCGTAGGTGAAGGGAAGCAAAGGAACGACAGCAGACCTTAGAATGTCATCCACATAGCGCTCCTATGAGACTAACCTGAATAACGTGAGGATCGCTTCTGAAACTTGCGTTTATGCTTCCCGAACCATCACACTTCCACCGCCGAATCGATCTCGCTGTCCGACACCTGTACTGGCGTAACCTTCACCATGTCGCCGATAAACTCGTTTTCTTCATCACCAAGGAAGCACACCACCCCAACTCGTCCAAAAACACAGTTCTACGGAAGAAAAACCGTGGTCGACGACAATACTGTTGCGCAAATCGACGGCGGGGCTGACGGTGTCAGAGCTGCAATATGGGATGGGACCATCCCTCAAAGTTGATCGTAACTCCCATACTTTAACATAGACTTACGACAGTCGTAGCGCTACGATCGCTTTGAGGAACAGGGCCCTGGATCGTAATCCCGTGTGTCTCAGGCGTCGTCTGACT